AAAAAACTATTAGAACCTACCCTTATTCATGAGATGATATATAATGGAATTTAAAGAATGACCTTTTTTTGTATGAATCAACAACACAATCAGTCGCTCTATTTAAAATTCTGATAACTTTTTTTAATCAAACAGCAAATATCAAGAGGCAAGGTTTTGTCAAATGAAGTCATGCCCTCCTCATTGGCCTCTTCTCTCCCAGATTAAGCACAGTATATAAACACCTGGTTTGCTGCATTTACTTTAGAATTTACAGTAACAAATTCTCCTATGTAATTAAATTTGATCTATTTTCTCCTACTAATTTTTCTGATGTTAAGTTGTTTGCCTGCCCAACCCTAGAAAAAGCCAAAGATCCAGAAGAATGCAGGTATTTTCACGAGCCCTGACAAGAACTGAAAAACGGGAAAATATGACTTGGTCAAATTTAAAATAAAAATGAAAGGACTGATTAGAAATAACACTATAAATCATTCATGTATATGATCAGAAAGAAAATGTGTGGTAAAACAAGTTCACACAGAATGTGGACATACATGAGATAATTAATTTGGTTTTTATGTATAATGTATTCTCATAATAGTTTTATAAAAATTACAATAATGATGACAACATTTTGAAAAAGTTGTTTTATGAAATATGTTTATATGACTAGGAATATTAGCTTATTAAGAAAGATTTGTCAGGAGCTAGTAAATGGAGTTGGATATGAAACAAAAGAATAACTACAAGTAACAAAGAAAAAATGGGTAAGTTGGACTTCATCAAAACTGAAAACTTCTGTGCATCAAAAGACAAAAGATAACCAACAGGATGAAAGAAAATTTTTGCAATTCATATGCCTAATACAGTATCCAAAATATATAAAGAACTCCTACATTTCTTTTATTACAAAAGAATAAGCCCATGCAAAAAGTGGGTAAAGGATACAAACAGACAGTTCTCTAACCAAGTTATGCAATAAACCAAGTTATGAACAATAAACACATAAAAAGATACTTAGCATCACTAGTCATTCAGGAGATGTAAATCAAAGCTAAAATGGAAACCACACTTCATACCAACTAGAAAGATCTAGTAAAAGTAATAATGTTCGTGAAGATATGGAGAAAATGGAATTTTTATAATGTAGAATGATACGGCTGTTAAAGCATACAGAAAAAAATTTGGCAGTTCCCCAAAATGTTAAAACACAGAATTACCATATGATCTAGCAATTTCACTTCAATGAAAGCAGGAACTTGAACAGATATTCGTACACCAATATTAACATTATCACAAAAGCATAATGTGTACACACCCAAATGTCCATCAACATAGAGGATAAAGAAAATATCACGTGTGTGTACGTGTGTGTATCCTTCAAACATAACCAGTAGAAAAATTCTGATACATACTACAATACTGATGAACCTTAAAATAAGCTAGATACAAAAGGATAAACACTGCATGAAGTACCTAAAACAAATCTCTAAGAGTATGTCTGTTTTAGGTGCTTTATATGAGACAGGAATTAGAATAGTGGTTAGCAGTGACTTCACAAGGATGGATTACTTAATGTCAGAGTTTCTGTCTGGGATAATGTAATATAGGAATAAATTTTCCTGATGTCTAGTTAAGCAGTAGTTCCTTAAATAGGATAAGCAACAAAAGAAGTAAATTGAACTTACATGTAATTATAATTATTTGTGTTTTAAAAATATTTCAATAACGTGAAAAAGACAAGTGACACAATGGGAGAAGATATTTACTAAGCACACATATAGAAGGGACTGGTATCCAGAATAAAGATACCAGTCTTTATTGTAAGCGATTTACAGCTCAACAATAAAAAAATATAAATAACCCAGTTGAACACAGGCAACAAATTTTATCTCCAAATAAGATATAAACCAACAGAACAGGGCGTAGTCAACACTGCTGCTATTGGAGAAGTGCAAATCTTCACACTAAACTACAGTCACAGACTGGCTAGACTGTAGAGAAAGTGGACCCTGCATACACTGCTGGTAGGAATGTAGGAAAGGGTACAGTCACTTTGGAAAACAGTCTTCAAACCATTAAAAATAGAACTACCAGCCCTCTCTGGTGGTGCAGCGGGTTAAAGCACAGCACTAAGAAGCTAAAGCCATTTCTGCATGGGTTCGATTCCCGCCTGCCCCGGAGGTGACCACATGGCGTGGCAGATCTCTCCTGACCCGCCCACTGCTCCCCTCAGCAGTGTATTTCATCTATCTGCCTGTTCTGCTCCCCACTCTGTCTCTGATGAAGCCTCTCGCCGCCCCTGAGCCTCTGGACTGTACCCCAGTTCTGTATGTACAAATAAATAAATCTTAAAAAAAAACAAAAAACTAGAACTACCACATGAGCAGACAATTACACTCCTAGGAACCTAGAAATACACCTGAGACAACTAAAAAAATATATTTCTATACAAAACTGTGTATACAATTAGTTATAGCAGCATTATTCATAATAGCCAAAAATGGAAACAATTCAAATATGTATTTACTGATAAGTTGATAAAACAAAATGTGGCATACATATTTGCCCATAAAAAGGAAATACTGACACATGCTCCAAGAGGGGTAAATCTTGAAACCATATGCTAAATAAGGAAAATAAGTCACAAAAGATCATAAATACGATTTCATGCATATAAAATGTCCAAAAGAAGCAAATTTTAGAGATAAAAAGCTGGGTCACTGTTGCCAGGGGTAGGGGAAAATGCAAAATAAGAGCTCATGGATGTGGAGCTTCTTTGGGGGTGATGACCATGATTTGAAATGAGACACAGATGATAGTTGCAGAAGTGTGTATACACTAAAACCACTGAACTACCCATTTTAGTAGGCTGAGTTTTATAGCATGTGAATTATATCAACTATAAGTCAAAATCCCTTACAAGTTCAACAATGTATCTTATATAACTAAATTCATTAGAATCTTTTAATATTTAATCCTGAAGCCAATAAAATTAGCTATTTTGGATAGAATGTACAGAAAGGTTCATTCATATTTTCTTTATCCCAGAAATTTCTGGAAGTCTGCAAATCAGCCATAAGCGATATTTAAAGAGTTAAGAAAAATAAAACAGTGATATTTTAAAAAATTTTACTGACTACTACAGAGTAAGCAAACCATTCTCTTTCAAAATCAGCCTTGAAATACCACTCACCAAGTACACTGCTCTCTGGAAGAAGGTGGTGGTCTCCAGGATCTTGTGCATTGTGATGGTTTCCAACTCATCAGGATCGAGCTGCTCCTTTTCAAAGGGCATCCCATTGAACAGAACAACAGGCAGTGGACCAACTCCAATTTGCTCATAGTAGCCTCTTGCTTCCTGAAAAGCAAGAGACCACAAATAGCACATTTTTGTCCTTCATGAAATAAATGAAACAAAGGATATTTTTCTCATATACAAGCCCTAACAAGGGAAAAAAGAAAACATGGTCACCAAGCAAGAACATAAAAAAAATTCTTATAAAAAAATCTAAGGTGACCTCATTGTTAACATTTTACTAGGTAACTCTTACACTGAACTACTGAGTTTTCGTAAGATCACAAAGGGGTAGGAGAGGCAGGTAATTTCAAGCAGCCTAGACTACCAAACCTGAATTACATATTCTGCCTAAACTACAGACAGACCTTCCTGCAATGATGTAAATATTCTACCTGCTCTGTAGCCACTAGCCACTGGTGTTAATGAACAGTTGATACATTTAAAAAGTCACATGTGGCTACAATAGGCAATATGACTACAGACTACCATAAAAAAATGTCCACGGTAAAGAAAGGCCAGATAATAAAATGGCAAATATATCTGAGACGGATATTTTTCCCAAATGTCAATGTGATGATTCACCTTGATATCAACCAGAGACCCAACATTAGCTTTTCAGAGTAAAAACAGCATCGTTACCAAGATTTAAAATGGCTCCTTAAAACATTCTTAACAAACATCATGTAACTGTTATTTTCTGAAAATAGCAGAGTTCAATGATATATAATCTTTTTAGATATAGACAGCACAAACAGAACAGTAATTCAATAGGGTAGCTAATACCAGTCATCAGCATTAGAGTGCAGTTTCTAGCCACAACAAAAAAAAATGATGCCTAACTTCTCTGATAGATTAAATGCAAGACAGCAATGACAGAAATACCTTCTAGGTTGACTTCATTCATTTCTCCTATTAATATTTAAATTGTTTAAATATACACTACCAAAATTTTAATGTGTTAATTCTATTCACTGAAGTTAACTGCATTGAAGTTCAAATTTAATATACACTGACCTTAGAACATCACTTCCCCAAACAAATTAAAAACACAAGACCCACACTGTAACTCTAAGTGACAATAACCAGTTGCTAACATTGGTTTTATCTGGAAATGGCAACTCAGTAAAAGTCAGGAGTGGGAGAAAGAGGAAGTTTTTACCATATATCTTCCATTTTTACAACTTGAAAAGAAGGCTGAGTAACAGGATGCAGCCCATTTCCCCAATAACACCAAAGTTATAAATAATATGTGAGCATTTTCTATCAGCTGCTCTCTACAGATGTTAAATAATTTTAATGTTAATACATAAATTACAAGTGGTCTAATGAGTAAAGAAGTCACTCATTAATTACAACTTAGATTTAAAAGATTTAAGGTTAATATGCCAAATGCAAAATGCCTGTATGTGTATATTAAAATTTCTCCTAAGTACCACTATCTTACATGCCTTGAAAGACATAAATATTTGCCTATCAAACTATATTCTCTTCAGTAAATTTTATTTGTACTGGCTAGGTTTTAGAAATAATCACCTCTTTCATCAGACACAGAAGATATAGTTTCTGATTTATTTTATAAAAACCAAGAGATTTATAATAGCAACACATGTTCGTTCATCCAAAAATAAAATCATTTTAAAATAATCTATTTTTTTAGTTTTATTTTTAATGCGGAAGTACAGCTCTTGCAGTTTTCAAGGTCTTGTTAATTACTTCCTTAGGACAGTTGGGAATCTCACAATATCCTTATCTTAATAGTATAAGCCTAATCAAATAGTTAGGAAATTGAAAGGCTTAGATACAAATAGTATTATTTGTTAATATGGGAAGAGATCCTTAATCTGTACAGACACGGAAAATAGCCAATCTGAAAAATTATTGAGGATCTAGGTCTGTGACAGTCCACTTTTATTATTCAGAAAAATCAAGATTTCAAAACATAAAAAACAACATGTAAAAATATCATCTCCCAATTTTTCCACTATATTCAATATTCTTTAAGCAAAGTCTTTTTTAAAATTTTTTAAATCTCTCTATATAAACTTCTACATTATTCTTCATTTTGTACAATTTTTTTCATCTCAGCTGTAATCCCCAAGGACTTCCTACCACCACTTCACCCATGTGCTGTCACCATGGTCCCTTGTGCTCTTCATGCCCCAGTTTTGATCCTGTTCCCTTCTCCAACCCTGTAGAATGTCTCTGGTTTATAGTTGTTAGTTGATGCTCGCTTTTACTTTATTAGTTACTTTCTTTTTTTTTCCTGATCCCTTACACTCCTATTGAGTGAAACCTTCTGGTATTTATCTTTTTCTTTATGGCTTATTTCACTGAGCATGATCCTTTCCAGCTCCATCCATGTTAGTGCAAAAGGCATGAGTTTTCTCTTTTTGACTGCTAAGTAATATTCCATTGTGTATTCCACACCGTCTTGATCCAGTCATCCATTTTTGAGCATTTGGGTTGGTTCCACACCTTCCCTATTGTAAACAGTGCAGCAATAAACATAAGGATGGGGTGGTGTGGTAATGGGGTGGTGTGGTGGTGGGATGGTGAGGTGGTAGGGTGAGGTGGTAGGGTGGGGTGGTGGGGTGGGGTGGTGCAACGGGCTAGGATGCAGCACTGCAGGCTAGGCACATCCACTTCAGTGAGAGATCGATCCCTGGAGGTGATCCACATAGTGCGGCAGACCTCTCCTGACCCACCCAGTACTCCTGTCAGCAGTGTACTTTGTTGATCTGCCTGTTCTGCTCTCCACTCTGTCTCTAGTGAAGCCTTTCATGACCCCCGCACCTCTGGCTTATACCCCAGTTCTGCTTGAATAAAAAAATAAATCTTAAAAAAAAATAGGGTTAAGGTGTCCTTTTGAATTGTTTTAAATGCAAATCAAAGCCACAATGAGATACCATCTCACACCAGTGTGAATGGCACATGTTAAAAAAAACTAGCAACAACAAATGTTGGTCAAGCTGTGGAGAAAAAGGACCTCTTTTAAACTGCTGGTGGGACTGCAAACTGGTCCAACCACTGTGGAAAACTGTGTGGAAGTTTCTCAAACTACTAAAAATGGAGTTTCCATATGATCCAGCAATTCCACTCCTAGGTATCTATCTACCTAAAGGACACAAAAACATTAATTCAAGTAAATTCTTTCACTGTAACAATTGTCCACAATTTTGAAAAGTAATATATGTACTATTTCTTCAATGGGATGAGCAAAAACTATGGTAAACATTTTCCAAATATGAATTAGAGAAAATTCCATTAATTTCCTCAAATCTTGAGAATTTCCAAAGCAGCCCTTCTTTTCTTTTATTTCACCTATTCATTTTTTATAGTACTACTCGTACTGTTTGGAATCTGGACAATCACTGGGCACCCTTTTTTTTTTTAATATCAGAAAAGATAAATGACTAAAGTAGAAAACTGCAATATAATACAGGAATCATTTTCAGTCAAAACTGAGTAGATCTCATTATCTGTCTCAATGCCAAAGTCTAATTTTAAATCTTAAAACAAAGATTTTTACAGGAAAGTAGAAATGATAGAAGGGCTGAAAAAGACAGCCCTTGCTGGTATTCAACACACACACACCAAGGAACAATCTGGCATCATCCATAGACAAAAGTGCATTTGTGGTAGCTTTGGGGTCCAGCTACATACGCCAAGGAAACTAAGAAAAGTATTGCCCACCTATGTGGTAGGGAGTAATCAAACCACTTTAACACTAGCTGTTGACATCAGTCTATAAGCTAACTCCTGTTCCTCTTAACCTTAGCCTGCAAAATGTTCAGCCCCTGCAAAAATTATCTTAAACAATCATCCACAGTTGGGAGAGCATTTTTGTAATCTGACATTTCCAGAGAAGTTCTAGCACACCACTAAAGCAAATAAAGTATGAGTTTGAACAAGTTGGAGAGGGTAAGAGGAACAGTCTGACTTCACTAACATCACCTGTGCCTAACGACAATGCAGTATAGCCATGGTCAAGAGAAAAATCTCTTAAGACTTGTGATTTCTCCAAGAGGGATCAGTGTTAGGATGCCACCTACACCTATGTGGGATGTCACCAAAAAAGGCCCATTTCTCTCTCATACCCAACCAGAATACTAAAAGGAAACTCCATGATGGGGGAGAGAGACACAGAAAGAGGCCAGTAAGGCTACAGATGGTACTCTCAGAGGGTTTTTAAGGGAGGTGTGGACTCTGTCAAGAAACATACTTATTAGCTACAGACACCCCATAAACAGATCCCCTCATCTGGCCCACTGGCATCCCCAATGTTTTTATAAACTCACCCCCACACACCCTCATCTTGTGGCCAGCTCCCCATGTGTATTTCCAAGTGGCAGTAAGGGACCTTTCCCAAAAGACTAGTGATCACACACAGAAAGCCAGCTCAAATCTGTGAGCCAGCCCAGAGCTTTAAGTCAGAGAGGGGCAAAACAAAACTTGATTTGATCTTCAGTGTTACTTTGGAAAAAACAAAAGGGGGTTGTCAGTACCAATCCTGTTGTATTGTAGAATCAAGAGAAATCATACATGTTTAATAATTCTGTGCAAGAGACAAACTTAGAGCAAGTAAATTTCGAGACAAACTAAGTTTCAGAATTCTAACCAGACTTGAGACTTCCAAAGACAGCCAACAAATGTAAAAAGAGTTAATTCAAATGCAAAATAAAAGCAAGAAATATGAAAAACACAAGAATGCATGACACCACCAAAGGATCATGATAATATTCTAGCAACCAATCCCAAAGACATGGAGACCTGTAATTCACAAAGAATTCAAAAGAGCTGGTTTAGGGAAACAAAGAAAACAGAGAAAGAGAATACACAAAATCAAGAAAATAATACACAAATTTAGAAGTTTAACAAAGAGATAAAAATAACCCCCCCCAAAAAAAGTTGGTATTAACAAATACAATGGATGAAATTAAATAGCATTAACATCAGAATGGACCTAGCAGAGGGCCTCCCTGGTGGTGCAGGGGTTCAAGCATCAGCACTATCAAGTTATTGCCAGCCAATGCAACATGACTTCAATCCCTGGCCAGGGAGAAAACCCATTTGACACAGCAGAGCTCTCCATTGTGTTGTATATTTTCAGATGGTTTGAACTGGTATCACTATATAACATTTTTTTCTTTCCCCTCCCCAGTGTATCTGCCTGTTCTGATCTTCACTTTGCCCCAGGCTGACTCCTCTCACACACACACAATCCCACACAATACACCTTGGTCTTGTATCCACAAATAAATAAATCTTTAATTAAAAAAGAAATGGACCAGCCCTCCTAGTGGAGGAACATGTTAAAACGTTGCACTGCAAGCAAGCCACAGCCTCTCCAGTGTGGGTTCAATCCCTAGCCCTGGAGGTGATCCACAAGGCACAGCAGACCTCTCCTGACTCACCCACTGCTCCCCTCGGCAGTGTACTTTGTCCATCTGCCTGTTCTGCTCCCTACTCTCTCTTTGGTGAATCCTCTCACCACCCCTGAACCCTTGACCATGGCTATACTGCATAGCTTTCTGCATGCATAAGTAAATAAATCTTTAAAAAAAGAAGAAGAAAAAAAGATTGGACTAAGCAGAAGAAACAATCTATGAGTTAGAAGGCAGACTGTAAAAGTATCCAGTCAGAGAAGAAAGTAAAATGAAAGAAATGGTAGATAGTGATATCATATGAAAAGTTTTTAGGCTCTCCCTGGTTGCTCAACAGGATAAAGCACCACACTGTGAAGCTCTCCAGAAGCCACTGCAGCACGAGTTCAATCCCCGGCTGGGTAGCTGACCCACATGGCATGACAGACCTCTCCTGAACCATCCACTGCTCCCTTCAGCAGTGTATTTCAGTATATCTGCCTGTTATGTTCCCACTCTGTCTCTGGTGAATCCTCTCACCCACCGTACCTCTGGCCTGTACCCCAGAGTTCTATAAACATAAATAAATCTTTTAAAAAAAGTTTTTAAATAAAATATTTTATGTAAGCTTCATAGTAACCACAAAATAAAAATCTACAGTAGATTCACAAAAGATGCAGAGAAAAAATCAAAGTATAAAGTCATGGAAAGCATCAATTAACAAAGCGAGACTGCAACAGAGGAAGAAAGGAACAAAACAAGTAAAGTTACAAAAGAGAAATTAACAAGATGACATTAGTGAATTCTTCCCTAGCAATAAACAGCCTGAATGTAACTGGATTAAATTATCTAATGGTAAAACACAGAGTGGCCATAAAGGTTAAAAAAAATTAAGTAAATAAAAATACATTCTGCCCATAAGAGACTCACTTCACCTTTAAGGAGTCATGAAGAAATCTAAAATTTGGGTACAGCAACAATAAGTAAGAAGTCTAAATCAATAAACAAAAACCTCCCAAAAAAGAAATGTCAGAATTAGTTCCTCTGAAAGAAATTTTTCAAAAAGTTAAAGAAGTGAAAACATTCCCAAATTCATTTTATAAGAACATTACCCTAACATCAAGGACAAATAAGGACATCACAAGAAAGTGCAATCATTAAAGTGATCATACATTATAGTCAAGTGGGGTTTCTCTCTGGGACATAAGGGTGATTTAAAATACATCAATCAATGTGATATATCACATTAACAGAATGAAAGATAAAAAAATTATATGATCACCCAGTGGGTGCAAAAAAAAATATATGACAAAATCCTTCACTACTAAAGACACTTAAAAATTTGGTTCCAAAAAAAAAAAATTTTGGTTCAGAAGGAACATACTTGAATATAATAAACCCATATCACTCAAAAAATTAACATAAGATGGATTAAAGACTAAAACAAAGATTTGAAATTATAAGTCCCTAAAAGAAAATATAGGGTAAGAAGCACTTTGTCAATGACCTTACCATGATTTTTCAGATGTGATACCAAAAGAATAAGCAACGAGAGTTAAAAAAAAAAAAAGTGCAATTACATTAGACTAAACTGCTTTGATACAGCCAAGAAAATAATACACAATGAGAAGGCAAAAGAGAATATTTACTAATCATGTGTCTAGCAGAATTAATCATACAACATGGGCAGAAGAAATGGGGATACTATGTCATTAAATAGCCAACAGTTTCCTTCATTGTGATGTCACTATCACTATAATCAAGGAAATGCTAACCAAAACCAAAAGGAAATATTTCACATCTGCTGGAATGTCTCCCAGCAAAATGAAAGGTGGTAACAAGTGTTAGCAAGGATGGGGGGAAAAGGAAATCCTTGTATATTGTCAATGGCAATGTCTATTGATGTAACAAAATGAAAAAACAGAATGGAGGTTCCTCAAAATTTTTTAAATAAAGTATGATCCAGTAATCTCACTTTTGGGTATGAATCTAAAAGGAAGTGAAGTCAAGATCTCATAAAAGACATCTGTACTCTGTCATTTACAATAGTCAAGGCATGGAAACAACCTAAACAATTTAAATGTCCATCGGCAGATGAATAGATAAAGAAGATAGGATACAGATAACTAGAAATATTATTTAGTCATGAGAAAGAACAAAGTTCGGTCATTTGCAATAATATGGATGGACCTTGAGTGCATTAGGCTAAGGGAAATAAGTCAGAAAAAGACAAATACTTTGATCTCACATATTGGGAGTCTATAATAAAGTCAAAACAAAGAGTAGAATGTCAAGAAGGAAATAATGGTCAAAGGGCACAAACTTCCAGTTATAAAATGAGTTAAGTTCTGGAAATCTAATATTCAGCATGGTGATTATACTGAATACTGTATCATTACTTGAAATTTGCTAGAACTGAAACCTTCTCACCTGAAAAATAGCAATTATGTAGGGTAATGGAGGCCTTACAGATCACTAAGCAATCATCCTCAAACTTATACAATGTTGTATATCAATCAAATCTCAATGGAGGGGAGGAAGGTGTGGAATCCTAATCAACTGCTTTAAAAAAGAAAATAAAACACTACAGCACATAATCAAAAACAGGAAAGGAAAAAAAGGTAAACAGCTGTCCTCCTCATGGATCCACTGGTGCCTGGTATGAAGGGATGATAGAAAGCCCATATAATTACCTATGTACTGAATATCAAAATGTACAAATATAATCTGTGGGGTTTTTAATTTCAGTTACCCCTGTAAAAGCTTTATCCATAGGGTAACCAAGTGTCACCCCCTCTAGAAAACCTTCAATAATCAACAGTTTCCGTGTCCCAGCTGGCAAAGTTGCCCCTCCTTCCTGGAAGGCCATCTTCAAAGCACTAACACTTCTTACCTCATGATCACCAAATCCCTACTGTTGTCAACACATCACCCCACCTCCCCTCAGACCTTGTTGCCCTAGTTATAGGCACTACCTCTTCTTCAACTTCCTTCTATCAAGACTAGGACAGAAGTTACCCTATATCACCTGTGTTTAAAATTAAAACTTTATTTCATATTTCAAAGTATTTCAGAAGCTCCTCTAATTGCTAAATTCTTCTGTTTTGTTCTTGTTAAATACTACTTTGTTTAACCTCTCTAAAACCTGAATTGATTTACAGTAGCAGATTTCATGATAAATCTCAATTAACCAAGTCATCAGATTAACAAATACTGACTATTAAAGCATGCTGAACTCTTGCCTTGATAAGCTAGTCTCTAAAATACAAGCACTTGTGCTCCCTTACTTGAACTACAGGCTTTACCAAACATCACTTGTTTCTACTCCCAACTACCTTCTAAGTGACACAACATCAAGCAAACTAAAAAAATACAAATGCCCCCCAAAAAAAAGTCTCCCCAAGAAAACAAATGGCTAGGAAAACTCAAAAAGGTGAAAGGCTTAAGTGATTGCTGAGGGCCCTCCCTGCTGGCACAATGGGTTTAAACACAGCACTATGAAGCTATTGCAACCACTGCAGCACGAGTTTGATACCCAGTCAGGGAGGTGACCCACATGGCACAGCAGACATCTCCTATCTCACCCGCTGCTCCCCCTCAGCTGTGTACTTTGTCGATCTGCCTGTTCTGCTCCCCACTCTGTCTCTGGTAAATCTTCTCACCCCTGAACTTCTGACTTATGCCACAGATCTATATGCATAAATAAATACATCTTTTTAAAAAAGTGATTGCTGTATTAGTTGTAGTCAACTATGAAAAACTTAGATTATAAAAATCTATAAGGATGTTGTATCAGATGAAAGAGAAATTATAATTTATGAGTAGATTCTAAAGAAATGATCTCTCAAATCTCCAACATAGCCAAAGGCCTTGCCTTCAAATAAGTTGATAAATAAATACATTTTTATTGTTCTAAATTAAATGTTTCAGAAATGTACTTTGATTGATGCCTTAACAGGTTTTTTTTCCCCCTCAATAAATGGATTGCCACATTCCTGCTTATAATTCATACAGGTACTTTATAAGAATGTCACAAGAAACACAATTGCCTTTAGGTAAAAACTTTAACTATCTCCCTATATCCTCATTACCACACTTTGCCATTTTATTATGTTTATTAATACATTTCCATCTTTTAGCCTAAAGAGCTAAATAAATGGTACACATTAAGTTACACACATTCTGGCAAGTACATATCAAGTACCTCAGACATCTTATTAGAACATTTCACACAGATATTACAACTACATCAAAAAAGAAATTATTTTCATCCTAGTTGTTAATATGCCAGCTAAAAGTAAGTGATATCTTCAAAATATAAACTACATTTACTAACACAGAAAAGTGGTCTGGTTTTGGACATTCTAAATAGTTCAGACCTAAAATACTTTAATAACCACTTTCATCAATAGCCCATAGAAAGAGAAGTTAGCATGGTGTTATAGTCAAATCAGAAATGATGAAAAATTTTCTTACCTTTCGATTCTGATCATAAGCACAATCAATTCCCAAAATGCTGTTTACTTCTACATATGGGTATTTCTTCTCCAGGACACTGACCACATGTTCAACTTTCACTTTTTCACCTGTCCTAACTTTGTTATATATCTAAAGAAAGAAAAACCATGTAATAATCTTTTACATCTGAATTTCAGAGTGTTGGTTATAAAAGACTGCTAAATAAAGGGGATGGACAGATATTCTTAAAAACACAAATGGGACATGTTAGCAACTCTCTCTTTTCCACATAGCATTTTAAGATGCCTTCCTTTCTACCTAGAAATTACTTATTCCTAGTGACTCAATCAGTTCATAGTCACATAAAGTCCCAAATGCAAATGTGCATTAATTTTTTTAAATGAGTACTTGAAAATAATTCTTGATAAAATAACTCATGCCCATGATATTAAAGGGGAGAAAGTTGCAAAATATGTGTGGCATAATCAATTTTTTAAAGATTGACATAAAACAAGCAACAAAATTATGCCTGTACATGTTCGGTTATAGATCAAGGCAGCAAGGCACCTTTAACAATGGCTGCCTTTAAACAGGTCTCTCAGTCCTTCCAAAGTTGTACAAACAACCTGCAATCACTTCTGATCTGCTGCCTTTGTTCAAATGACTCCCCTTTTTCCTCCTACACTCAGCTGGGGGCAATTTCCCCCACACAGAACTGTCCGCTGTTAACAGTGCAGTGAGCTCCAGGAGCAGCCATAGGCAGTGTGCCTCCCTTAGGGTATGAATGTCAGCTGGGTGGTGAGGCCCCTTCGGAGATGAGGTCTTACTCATCTTTATATCCTTCACACCTGGCCTGGCATATGGTGGGTCTTTAATACATCTAAGCTGAAAAAATGAAAACATCTCAACTAATGAAAATACCCCTGATTCCATCTCTAAATAATAAATATAACATACAAACTAAACAGCAGGTTGATTCCATGTTTACAGGTAAAATGTAAGAGATGAAAATCAACTGCTTTAAAGATGGTTTACTGAGCTATAAACAAAAGGACTGCTATTTATAATATTGTATGGTTAAAACTAAGGGGAAAAGAAAACAAAGAAAGCTCTTTGGTTAACCTAGAATAAATATCTCACATATTTTTTTTTTAATCAGAGCACTTCAGAGTTTTCAATTAAAATGGAGAGAACAAACAATAATTTTATGTCTTCAATATGAACCCTAAGATCATGATGGCATTAAAAGGGGGTGGGGTGAAAATAATTTTTTAAAATAATATCACATTTAACAAAAGATACTAATTAGTGAACTCAAATTATCAAAAGGCAAGACTTTAGATTTGATACACTAGTAGGCCTCCTAAGGAAGCTTAGCTAAAATCACAGCAATCTATTATTGACAGTGAATCAATGCAAACAACTCCTAAAAATGTAAAACAGAATTACTATGAATTTGGTATCTTAGTTTTTTTTTTGCTTTTGTATCTTTGTTTTTTTTTTGAAATATAAATCCTTTTAACATTTTATTTCTTAGAGTCACATTAAATTAAAAACCTGGGCACTCCCTAGTGGCAAAACGGGTTAAAGCAGCGCATTATGAAGCTATCCAGCACTGCAGCACATGTTCAATCCCCCGTCAGGGAGCTGACTGACATGGCACAGTAGACCTCTCCTGACCAGCCTGCTGTGACCCTCAGCAGTGTATTTCAGTCAATCTGCCTATTCTGCTTCACACTCTGTCTCTGGTGAATCCTCTTCACCCTCCACACCTCTGGCCTATACCCCAGTTCTGTAGGCATAAATAAATAAATCTTTAAAACAAAAAAATTAAAAACCTATTCAGTATTCTAAATGAAAACTTAAATATGTCATTTGAAGGGAGTAATCAAAAGCAGTACAAAAATTAACAATGTAAGAAAATAAATAAAGAAGAAATTTTACATGTGTCAAAGTTTGGAAGGCGTGAAAATCATCCACTACTTGAGCAACATAATTATAGGCTCTCAAAACAGCCACTCCAGCATCTTGCATCCCATCAATATCTTCAGCATCATTAACAACAAAGATCAAACCAATTCTGCAGGAGAGGAGAGTAAAAAAGAAGAAAAAGAAACTTATTGCAAGAACATAGCCAGTTAACAGCACTGGCAAACACTTGTATTCCACTCATAAATTGTAGCTAATAGAGGAAAACTATCCTCTGTCAATAAGCACTTTTCACATCTTACTCTAATACAGTTAGCAAAGAAAGACATCCATCATATACTGATTAACTTTTCAACCTTTAAACTGTTTCCACATTATGAAATGAAGCTTTTCCTCACATGAAGGTACTGTTACAGTTTTAAGCAAAGATTTTCTTGTGTTTTCAAACAAAAGTTAACAAAATTTTTAGAATGCAAAAAACATGGAGGAAGGAGGATTTAGGATCTAACAAGCAATGTAAGAATCTTAATGGAAGGCATAAAAATATTTACTATTGTCCTTCAGGAAAATGTTGCAACTAAGGTTAAAATTTCTACATTTTACAATTTTAAATAAAGGAACACACCAAAAGGAGATATGATTACAAACTAGAAAGAAAAAACAACCCTGCACTGTCTAATACAGCTTTCATGTTAGAGCAAGAACAATTCAATAGCAACAAATGGTGCTGGACCAACTGTACATCATCTTATAAAGTAATAAATTGAGACAGAGGCCCTAATCCCTTCACAGAAAGGAACTGAATATGAATCTTGACATAAATGCCAAACACAACTAGAAGAAAAAGCACAATCTATGAAAGGAAGAATGGATAAGTTAGACTTTTTTTAATTAAGAACTTGTGTTCCGCCCTCCCTGGTGGCGCAGCAGGTTAAAGCACAGCACAAAGAAGCTTAAGCCACTTTCACATGAGTTCGATCCCCGCCTGCCCCGGAGGTGATCCACCTGGCATGGAGACCTCTCCTGAGCTGTCCTTCGCTCCCCTCAGCAGTGTACTTCGGAGATCTGCCTGTTCTGCTCCCCTCTCTGTCTCTGGTGAATCCTCTCACCCTCCGCAACTCTGGCCTGTACCCCAACTCTATATGTATGAATAAATAAATAAATCTTAAAAAAAAAAAAGAAGAACTTGTGTTCAATGAAAGAAACTATAAAGAGAATGAAAACAAGCCACAGGTCTTGAGAAGAAATGTGCACAAAACACATTTCTGGTGAAGGACTGATACAAAATATACCAACAATTCTTAAAACTCAACAACGAAAAGTTTAAAAGGGACAAAAGATCTGCATCTGAATTGGCACCTCACTAAGTAAGACACAGAGTTGGCAAACAAGGACAAAAAATGATGTCTGTCATTGGAGACAGGTTATCAAGTTAAAACCAGCCCCTGCACACTTTCGAGAATGGCTAAAACACAGATGCTGGCAGAAAAACAGGAGCTCTCATTCATTGTTGGTGGAAATACAAATTAGTCTCAGCACTTTGAAAAGCACTTTTACCATAACATAAAGCAATACTGCTCTGCAGTAGTTGCCAAAATGAGTTGAGAACTTCTCTCTACACAAAAGCCTTATAAGAATGTTTTTAGCAGCTTTATTCATAATTGGCAAAAGCTAAAAAATAGGACATCTGTTATCAAATGACTGAATTTTTTTAATTGCAGTATCATAGGTTTACACTGTAGTTGTAGTTTGGAAGCATAGGATCTCCCCTTTCAAAATGCAGTCAGAAGTATTACATGCATGCACGCATGCATACACACATACACATACACATACATACAGACAGACATATGTAATCAAATATTACTCAATGAAAAAAAGAAAGGAATGACCAAGCTACAAAATTATAACAAACTTTACAAATATACTGCTAAAGTGAAAGAAGCCAATCTGGAAACATTACATATCAAAATTCTGGAAAATGCAAACTCTGGAAAAAAGATCAGTGGTTGCCAGGGGTTAGAAGGAAAAAGGGCGAGAAGTAGGTAGAAAGAGAAGCACAGAGAATTTTGAGGGCAGGGAAACGAATCTGAATGATACTGTACTAGTAGGAACATTTGTCACAAACCACAGAATTTACAATGAGAACAACAGAAAAGAATGAACCCTAATGCAAACTACGGACTTTAGTTAATAATAATGTCATAATACTGAGTAATTAATCAAGGTTCCTATAAAAAATACTGACATAGGAGAAAATATAAATAGGTAATATACCAAACATCACTTTCACAGGAAACATGTGTAGAGTGTATGTCTACATGAATGGGGGTGTCGAGAATGTTTGTTTTAAAATATAATTACCTTTTTTAAAATCCCACTTAAGACAGCAATTATACACATAAGCTCCACACAGAAGTAAACTATTATTCACATCAAAATAAAAATAAGGGTTAAAATATCATCACCTCCTCACCAAGTAATTCCCCTTCCCAAGTTTCTAATTTCTAAAGAGAGCATCATAGTTTTTCTGTAGCTAAGCCCCAGAATTCAGACTTCTGTATCTCCCAGGCCCAGTCCCTAAACAATTATTCCAGGGAATCTCTCAGATGTATCCCCTATACTCCTCAGCCTGGTTTGCCTGAGCAAACCAGATCAACTCAAAGAAAAGGTAATACTGCAGCCAATCAACCCTGAGTCTCTCCACCAACTGTTCACAACGTGGCCCTCTACCCACTGCGCATGAGGAAGCGCCTCCTCGCGTGCACTGGTGATGTGAAGACCACATTCCCTCTTCCTATCCCTCAATGCCATTCAATAAGCACTTAGAGCCAATTGTGTAGCACGAGCCAATTTCTCATGACTTGTATTTCCCATTTTTTACATGAAATTATCACTAAACTCAAACCCCATCAATGAAAACCCTCTATTTTCTTCAAAGCATATCTGAAATTCATTTTTTCTGTTAAGTCTTTGTCCTCGTGTCTTTCAGTCTATAATCTTTTGTTTCCCTGAAATTCAAAAGCACTTATTGCTAGTAGGAGGTAACTTAGCACTTGAGAAAATATTTTCTTAGTGTCTCAAAGTAGGCAGTGTTTTTCTCCAAGAAGGTGAGACTGTAACTAATGTATCATCCACAATATTTAGTTCAATGCTGGGTATGAAACACACAATAATCTGTGTAGTCTACAGAGTTTCCTCTTTATTTTCATGGTTTCTAAGATCCAAATTTTGTTGACATGTGAAGTTACCAAGTAATATTCAGAATGTAAAGTACACTATCTTAATAGTTACATGTGAAACCATACATACTGTTTTTAAAAGGTACCCATTCAGTAGTTAGCAATTCAAGTGAAATACAAGGGAATGTTTTTCACTTATAGTAAGGAAGGCTATATATACATTTAGTCCTTGACAGTCTAACAAAAATTACTGGCAAAGTTCTTTAGCTCCATTGAAAGCATAAACAGGCTTTTGATGTGGACAGTCACTTAGGAAAACTGCCTTTCACTGGAAAGCAAGCTGAAACCACAAACTATTTGTATGCTGAAACCACAAACTATTTGTACACAGACTACTTATTAATAATTCAGAAATGTTAAATCTCTATTCATTGATAATCAAATTTTCTATCCTAAAAGATACTACCTTCATAATGAGTAAAGGGTAAACCTGCCAATATGACTCCCATTATTAACTATCCTAAAATTTACTACCACACACTTGCATTTATGTAGGAAAACAAAACCTCAGCTATATTTGCCATATCATCAAATCAATACCAGTGTTACCTTAGTGGTATATGATTACTAAGGAACATCTCGGCTGTGTTAATCAGTTCTGCTGTGGTCTCATGAACAGGATCAACTATGAAAACCTATAGGGGGAAAGAAAACATGAATAGTATGTACTCAATGTCACTGTACTTAAGGCAATGTAACAATATACTTCAGGCAATCTTGGGAGCCACTCTTGAATAACAGAAAAGATTCTATAAGGACAATTCAGAGAATGTGGTACTGAATGGTTAAGCATTTTTCATTGTGGTTTTATGTCAACAGCATGGGAAGAGTACTGCAGATGACTAATACCTCTTCTTATACTACAATGAACAAAACCCAAACTCTCCCACCTTAGAAAATGAAAATTATCTTTTTGTGTATTAAGGATCTCTGAATTAAGAATTCATCTAAAACTGATTTTTTAGGCCACAATAATAACTCACATATTAAGTTCTCATGATAATTAAAAAATAAAAATGATAGTATCTTCATTTAATAAAGTTCAGACAAATGGCAAGAGAGAAAGAAAGTAAAATATGAAGCAGGACAAAAGGAGTTTCAAAAGTGAGGAAAGTAGTACAGTTTCCCAATAAGACTGAGGAAACCGACCTTGGCACTAGTCTGGCCCGTCTTCTGAGGAGCCACATGAGGGAAGAGTAAGAAATGAGAGGGGGAAAGGTCAACTAAGAAACCTTTTCCTGTCTCTCTCTAAGTGAGATAAGAAGTAACAAGTAGAAAATGACACAAGGTTCTCTTTAAGGGAATAAATTGAGCTATTAAATTTTAGGGAAAGAGATATTAAAGAAAAACAGTAACAACAACAAAATAAAATAGTACCCTAAATCTTAAACAACACAGTCAAAACCTTCAAGTCAAGGAGGATAAACATACCTTACATGCTGACATGTTTTTAGAAAAAGGGCGTATTTACTGGCAACAGTGGTGAGGAGAAACAGCTAGTAAAGAAGTGAACAGTCTAAGTATGACCACAAAGGTAGGGCCATGGTAAGAGAGAAACGGTTCATGTTCAGTCAAAAGAAATTTTACTAACCATATTATGCAAGTTTTTCCTGATCTGCCGAATAACACCAGGAAAGGTGGGTCGAAGCAACTCTTGTAGATTAGAAGGCCATGAATTATATCTGCTATCAACCTCTAGGTTGTTGATCCACTAAAAAAAAAATAAAAGAAACAATACAACATGACACATATACATTAAGTCACCGTTAGTGAAGTTTGCAAAAATAACAGTAAGATTTTTAAATTATTTTTAAAAGACTCAAAGGGAAAGACTATTTTAAAATATAAATACATCAAGTGGAAAAATAAAAGTCACAGAACAGAAATCTGCAACCTACAAAGATGAATTATGAATAGGAAATGAAATTTAATAATAAAAAAGGCAAACAATCTATGAAAAATGGAAATGAATCAATAATCTGAATCAGAAATTCAAATGAGCAATTTGAAATAAATATGTATCTTCATGAGTAATCCAATAAATATAAACTAAAACAAATTTTACCCTCATTATACTGGAAAAAAGTTTAAGTCTATTAAAATACAAAAATAGGTAAAGAATTAGGTGATGAGTTTTCACCCAGTGCTGGTATCTGGAGGAGTGATTTAGAGAAAAACCTAATGAAACTGAAGATTTTATTTAGATCTACACTAAATATTCAGTTCTAGGAGTCTAGTCCAAATAAATTCTCACAAGTGTGCACAAAAAGAGAAATATAAAAAGAGCATTTATATTATTGCTTATAATAGCAAAAAGTCAGAAAAACTTAATGTCCACAAAGAGAATAAGGGATAAAGAAACAGTATGTACCATTGCACAAAAGGGTTAGGATGTGAAAGTGTGTACGTATTCTCTTGTTCATGTAATCAGTTTTCTGGAAGGATACATAATTAATAATACTGCTTCTGGGGGAAAAAAACAGGACAACTAGGGGATGAGAATATATATGCTTTTGTATGTCTTAAATTTTAAACTGTGAAAGTACAGATAATTTTTAAAGATAATTCATAGCATATATGATCTGCAATGATTACAAGATTAGTATGTGTCGACTGCATAAGTCTTGAAAAAAAATCATTGAGGAATAAAGGAAACTGATGAAGGATAATGATGTGGCATTGTGTAAGTTTTTAAAACATATAAAGGCAATAAAATGAGGAAGTAAGGGACAGAGGAACATACATCCATTTCAAAAGAGGAATTACCTGCAGGGAGGAGAGAGGTAAAACTGGGAAGATATATAAAGAATGCTTTGGCTGAAACATTTTTTCCTCTAGGAAAACAATAGATTGACACAAATGATTAAATAATTTTTTAAAGATGTATTTTTTTAATTTAGGCATACAAGAGCAGGGGGGTAAGAGGATTCATCCGAGACACAGTGCAGGCAGATCTGAAATAAACTGCTGGGGTCTGTGCTGTCGTGGGATTGAACTTGTGCTGCAGTGGCTGCCTATAAACCTGATAGTACTGAGACTTAACCCCATGCACCACCAGGGAGGCCCCAATGATTAAATATTAATGTAAGTATAGCAATGGGTGTTAATTATATTAATACTTTACTCTTTTTAATTAAAACATTTTAAAGAGAAAAATAACATAATAGCATTCATCAAATTAACAATTATATAATCAAGTAAAACACAGTGATCTCCTACCTAATTTCAATTTCTAAAAATTTCCTTAACATAAATTCAGTACAAAAACCAAGAAAAAGGAACTGGAGTGCTCAGAATTGTTCAGACATCTTGAACAGTGATCTCCTTTTACCTGACCCACTGGAGTGGGGATTGCCCCATTCCATCCAGTCTAATACAGATGAGAAGACTCACAGAGCAGATACCAATCAATATAAATCCTTTATATAGAAAATGTCAAAGTCTCTTCACATTTGGCTGAAATCAATCATTTAAATATAAGGACAAAAGACTTGTATATAACTGAGAAAATACAAACTAAACACTTTCCCAGGAGATATTGAGTTGAATGCAAAGGTGGCTACAAAAAATGGAAATATCACTCTCTTAATCACATTAAACAATAATTCAACTTTCTGGGTGTTTAGTGTCTACTTTATTAAAAGGACATCACCCCACATAAGCAGTTGCTGAAAATCTTTAATGCCAATGAAAGAAATGATTTAGTAATAAAAGACAAAGGGGAAAGCCATAATAAAATACCTGGCCAGAATATCCTTTGGACACTCAACCAGAATACCTACTGAAATAGCAGGACTCCTGATGTCTACTGCATAGTCGGCCTCTGAGGGCTGGATGTTCAGTTTCAAAACATTGTGCAGAGAGAGGCCTTCTATTCCCAATCTATGCAGACCTTCCATTACCCGAGCTTCATTCCTCAAGATATCAAACAGACTGAAAAAATAAGCAGGTATTTAGTACCAGAAAAGGCTTTTTTAAAAACTCCTCACCATGAAAAAAGTACATCCTTTCAAACTCAAAGCACTATCAAGTTAATGAGAATCAAAAGTTTTCCCCTTTTTTTGTCAAAGCATATAAATTATAAAGTATACACATTGCTGTCAAAGTATATAAAATAAAGGAAGCAGGATTGGCTTCTTGGTTCATTTATATTTTTACTTTATCAACATTGTAGAAATTATCTCTAAATATAAACACACAATTTGAGAATGAAATAATACTAAATATTTATTTTATGTTGTTTTTTTTAAAAACTACTTTATTACTTCTTACAGTTGCACATAAATCTATAATTATCTCGAATGAAAAAATGTACTCAAAAATACAACAATACTTAAGTTCAGGATCCATATACACAGGCACACACACAGTTGGGGGAATTGCCAACGACTTACGAGTTTTGCCAGGGGAGGTAGAAAAGAAAGGGAAGAGCAAGAAAGAGGGCAGGATAAAGACTACTTAATAGTTTATCTCTGCATTATTAAAAACCACTACAAAAAGCAAGTACTTAGCTTATAATATTCTGAAAAATTAAAGATTTCATTATAAAAGATAAAAATAAACATGGGCAATCTTTTTAAAATGCTCTTTACTAACTTTTCACTAGCTCTTTAAAGCAATGATGTGAATATTATCTTACTATGGAAACTGCTTCTTCTGTAGTATTAGCAATAACTTTTGCTTTTACTATTATAAACCTACAATGTCAGGCCCTCCCTGGTGGCGCAGTGGATTGAAACAGCACTGTGAAGCTGGCTGCAGCCACTTCAGCATGAGTTCGTTCCCACCCAAGGAAGTAACCCACATGGCACAGAAGACCTCTCCTGTCTTGCCCGCTGCTCCCCTCAGTAGTGTACTTTGTCCATCTGGCTGTTCTGCTCCCCACTCTGTCTCTGGTGAATCCTAAAACCACCCTTGTGTCTCTGGCCTGTTCCCCAGTTCTGTATGTATAAATAAATCTTTAAAAAATAAAATAAAATAAACCTATAGTTTTAACTATGTCTAGGATTCTAAGGATAGTATCTGAATTCTCCCACATGTTCACAACACAGCCTCTCAAAAGTTTCTATGGATAACTTAGAGCAATTTTCAGTTCCAAACCACATTGTGATCAAACAAAAAGGTAGATATTCAAGTGACTTATGTAAGACAGAACATCTTCCAAGATACAAGATGCAACATTATAAATAAATCTCAGTTTCCAAAAGCAAAAGAACTTTCTCTGTTCTATTTACATGGTTAACAAGAAAACTATGGTTCTAAAAGTGTGTCCTCACAAGACACTGGGGATTTAAATGTTCATTAGGATAAAAAAAAATGGTAACAATGTCATCCTACCCACCCCAATCAGAATATGACTTATCTAAACACACTCTCTGGACCTGGCAAACCATCAAAGAGGAACAGTCTGAACATGTCAAACTGTAAAAACTCAGAGCATGAAAAATTCATACCTGAATATGTCCTGTGTATCTAAATCAATATGAAGTCCATTGATAAATAGTGCCGAATCTCCAGGCTGTAATCCTAAGGTTCCTTTGAAATACTAAAATACATAATAAAAAAATTATTAAGGAGCCAGAAGACAACATTTAACAAGATTTCCATGTTTCCAACTTTATTTTATGTGCAAATGTTGACACCTTCTTATTGACTAAAAAAAAAAAAATGCTAAGGCAGTGCTAAGAGTTCCTATTATGTCCTCCCACAGACCCTTCTTAGCATTCACTACACTAGTGAAACTACCACTTGCTGTAGCATCTACCTCTCTTTCCTCCTTCCACCAATGATTAATACAAATACGTCGAAGTTAGGAGAGAGGGCACAGAGTAAGCCATTATATAAGCCAACTATAATGTTATATAAGTCAAGGTTTGAGGGTCAGTTTTCATAAAAGACTTCTGTAACTCTCCTCTGTGTTGCCAACTAAGTTTGTAACAGTAGTGAATAATCAGACCTTCTTGATAAAGTCAAGGGATCTAATCTAAAAATATTTCAAAACCCCACACCTCCCTTAAAGCTTCAAACCCAAACACATATAGAAACTTTGAGTTGCTATACAAAGAATGGCACCCTATATGCAACATAGCTCTCCAAAACTGGTCCTTCAACTGCTGCTCCCTAAGGATGTGGCCACTCTTGCAGACACATATCTTGCAAACTCTCCAACTCTAGACCTACCTGGCCCATCAGAAACACAACCTTGACACCACATTGTAACTTCTGCTGACTTTTATATTCTCAACTCCTCTTTGCAGGGAAACTGAGACTTACTAATTCTAATAATCCACATAGTAAAGAAGAAACTACTCAGATACTAAGGACAGAATTTAGCTGTTTGAGGACTATGGAAGGAGGATAGGGATTGATGAGCTGCCTTCTTTTCCCATTAGTCAGTAGTTGAAAGGACACTTCTGGAAAGGGGGAGTAAGACAGAATGAGACAAGTTAAGGAGTTCTGTTTTACTAAACTAAGAGGTGGTATCTTCTGGTACTTTGAGTTATATTCATACTCAACTTTGATGAATAAATAAAAATAAGATTACAGAAATGAATATAATTGTTAAATGTCAGTGACAGAACTCAGACTGCTTCATCTTTAAAGATGCAGTACAAAACAAACTTTCACTATTTTTCCACTGGTTTATACCTTCTGGTTCTCTTCCACTTCAGTTCTAAGTTCTGAACTCACAGCTGTTTTAGTTATTGCTCTAAAAAAATAAAAACATTATCAATGTTTAAACATTTGATGTCTTTTTTCCATATAGTTAAGTATAAGATATTACATTATTCAATAAATTACAAAAAAATGGGAAAAAATTAAACCTTTACAATTAATAAGTATATCTCTGCACTCAAATGTGCATATACTTTCATTATTGCAAAATATAAGACCAAGGAAAACTAGTATTAGTGGCATTTCAAGACAAGTGCAGTTATCTCCAAGAGTTTAGTTGAATACATGTAACTAAATACCTGTATGTGCTTGCAACTGCTCACAGGCTAAAAGATAATGCTCAATAAATTAAAGCAACAAAATATTCCTGGAGGCAGAATCCTATGCATACATCTTCAATTTATGCCCAAGTAAATAAGAATATACTACATGACTTTGAAGTCCTGACAAAGACTAAAATTAACTAAATAAAATTATTTATAAAATACCTCATGTCAGAAGACAAATCACTTCATTAAGTGACTAAAGAAACACTGGCAATGATTCAAGTCATTAATTTCTTTTGACTTTTAAAACAATTTTTTTCTTGAATATGAGATGTAAAAGACCATTTTAAAATTGAAAGCAGTATCAGAAAAGATGCTATCAAAATCTTGTCAATATAAACAAGTCATTTTCTTCAGGATAAAGATGACATGTAATGTTTCAGAAAAAACACTACAGTTCATGCCTGATGCTATATGGTTTACATTTGCACATGTTAGACTTTGTTAACTCATTCAATCCTAAAAGATAAGTATTTGTATTTCCACTTTACTGTTGAAGAATTAAAGTAAAGAGAGGTCATTTATTTGCAAAGGTTATACAACTAGCTTAGTAGTGCCAAGAGCAAAACCTAGACCAGCGTCTTCAACAACAAAATAGGACGTCTTGCCTTCTCCATTAGCATAGTGCTTGTAATAAGAAAACTTTTGCTTTCTAAACATTTTCACATTTTGAATTGCCTCATTCTGCACATAAACTTGAAGATAATTAGGCTGTTAGTAGGAGATGAACATCTTACCTGGCTTTGGTAGGAAAATTCTGACTAAGATCCTTCATCACCACCAAAGCTAACTCAACAGGAGCAGCCAAGATTCGTGCAGCAGTCTGGAAACTTAGATCTGAAAACAATGTCAAATATATAAAATGTGGTTAATCTAATGCAATAAGAAATAGGGGGGAAATCAGATCTTGGTATATTTTCTTGATAATTAAGAATGCTTTTGAACAATAACAGTTCAGAGTACACAAGATTAATTCTCATTAATTACTTCATAGGTCACTACAATTGTTCCTTGCCATTCCTTGAATCTACCTACATAAAACACTAGGACAGAATAATACATTTAGCACAGTTTAATCCATCCCTAATCCTTTTCCTTTTCTGAAGTTACAAAATCTCACTAAGTATAACAAAACACTGTAGAAGTCATGCTGGGGTAGAAAAAAGCTTGATAGTTTTGGAGCAGAAAAACCAATATGTAACTTGCCATACTAACATGCCTAGAACATTCGATAGACAGAATGTTTAAGAGACATATTCAACAGAAATATAGAGACTAATACAAGGACTGTAAGACTGGGGATCTGGTCACACAGAGAAAGATTTAAGGTTCATTTATATAAACTACTACTTCTGAGCAGAATTATCTATCTACAAAGGATTTTCTTCCTTTCTTTCCTGATAAATCATAATCACTTTATCTTGAAAAATCTGTGGTCTCTCAGAATCTTAAGTACAAAAATAATAAAATTTAAATTCTCCCTTTTTCTTAAAACCACAAAATTAAGTCAAAAAGTAAGTCAAGTCCTCCCTGGTGGCACAGCAGGTTAAAAGCACAGCACTGTAAGCCAGCTGCAGCCTCTTCAGTGCAAGTCCAATCTCCGGGCCTGGAGGTGATCCACATAGCACGTCAGACCTCTCCTTTCTTGCTCGCTGCTCCTCTCAGCAGTGTACTCCATCGATTTGCCTGTTCTGCTTCCCACTCTGTCTGGTGAATCCTCTTAGTTCCCCTGCCTCCTGCCTGTGCCCCATTTCTGTATGCATAAATAAATAAGTCTTTAAAAAAAAAAAACAGTCAGTGATTCCTCTATATTTTTACTACCTTGCAATTGCCAAACTTTTAAAGGTGCCATTTCATTGGTGCTCTCCACAAGATGCTTTCTGAGCTCTTTCAATTCTCCCTTCAGGTTAGGGTACAGGTCCCTAAAAGAAACATACCATCAGTCCTTTGCAAGCATCTTTTCTTTCTCAACACAAATTTAAGAAATGGTACCACCTTATCTTCAGGATTTTTACCTCTTAGCAACAGGAAAATTCATACAATCAATGGGGTAAATTAAGTTTTGGTTCTCTTAAATACAGAAAATGACTAAAATTGAAAACTGTAAAATTCTGAGAGGAAAAATTGAGTCACTCTAATAGTGGGTTCTCTATGGAGGAAGTAGGGAAAACAATGGGACTGAAACTGGAAACTGAGGGAACCTCAATTCTACCTGTAGTGCATTACTCACCTTGCTTCATTTCTCTTTCTAACTAAACAAAGTATACACTGGGGGAACACTTGACAAATAAGTCTTTGGAACAAAAAGTAAGCATGAAAACAATCAATTCTGGGTAGTAAGAATATGGGTGTGTGTTACTTTAACCTCTACACTTTTCTGAATATTTTAAACTTCTCAAAATAAAACAGAAATACACTGCTGCTATTCTCAAAAGAAATCTTCATAAATCCTTCAAACAAGCTAGCCAAATTAATAAATTCTGCTCAGTTTTGAGCAAAATTTCAAGTTTATGTATCTTGAAATATAGCATATTCTACTGAGAGCTAGAAAAACAGATTATCAGAGGCAGATATACATCACCTAGATCAGAGAGACAGCTGGCTGCAAGAGTAGTTTTGTTCCAAATGATACAAGCTGAGAATTCTTAAGTGTAAATGCAAAAAGGTGAACATTTACTCAGATCCTTCACCTTCCAACCATCCATTTCTAATCAGTTACTATAAAATATAAAAGGCCCTCCCTGGTGGCGCAGCGGGTTAAAGTACAGAACTAAGAAGCTAAGGCCACTTCCGCATGAGTTCGATCCCTGCTTGCCCAGGAGGTGACCACATGGCACGCAGACCTCTCCTGACCCACCCGCTGCTCCCCTCAGCAGTGTACTTCGTCGATCTGCCTGTTCTGCTTCCCACTCTGTCTGGTGAATCCTCTTAGTTCCCCTGCCTCCTGCCTGTGCCCCATTTCTGTATGCATAAAAAATGCTA